ATTTATCAATACTTAACCGAATATTCAATATCATTCACCAATACTCAAACAATCATCAATAATCAAATTCGCAATCCAATAATCAAATCATCCTAGGGAGTACACTCCCTATCAATAATCCGGTAATCAATAATAAAGAAAACAGTAATAGCAATATTCAATTTTTGGCGGAAGCAATATTAATTATAAAGACCACCACTCGCATCCCTTCGCCGTGCCCGCAACACTAACCTGGATCTATGAAGAGCAGGTGGGCATGAGCACAATAGGAAAATCGAGGTGCTCACCGCTATGCATTAATTAATATCAATAATCATGAAAACGATTTAAGTATGGTCGCAGCATGTATACGAATCAATAACCGTCCCATCTCCTATCAATAATCAATAATGAGTCTCATGTGCACACCTATAACAATAGGCTACTGCCGAACTATATACCGAACGCCTTATCTAAGGCCTTACAACGAGTGTCCGGCCAGCAGGAGCAATAATCCACCCCGACTTGGTGCAAGGTCTAATAGTCGGCGTTGGTATTGCTTAGCCCCAAATCTAGTAGTCGACTATTAGATCTTGCACCAAGGCGGAGATCCTTCTCGGTCAGAATCTTTAATCACAAAGGATGGTGGAGCCTGGTGTTTGGTCTAGGTTTGATTGTCGTTGAAGATCTTGCTCGACCTAGATCTGATAGTGCTTGGTCTGAGTTCTAATAATCGACGACGGTCTTGCTCAACCCTAATGTCAACTATAGAGATATGATAAAGAGATCGGATATGTTGAGAGATGAAACATAAGAAAGGAAGAACATAAATTTTTCTCTTGTCGAAAAAGAAGATGAAATATAATAAGAAAAAATCTATTGTTTTATTTACATCTCTATATATATAAAGGTTTGATTATTTTTTAAATAGTAACTATTTCCCTCCAAAAAAATCTATTCACTATTTCTGGAAATTAATTTAACAATTTATGGTATACATTAACTGATCACTTATGGAAATTGCGGCCCATTATTTAAGAAAGTAATTAAGTCATATTTTAAGAAACCTTAATAACGCAAATCATGTGAATTAATTAATATATGGTATAAAGTGAACGAATTTATTTTTGGTATTAATGATTGTTTATATGGGGAATAAATTAATCAATATATGGTAGAAAATTATCAAATTTATTTAGGTTATTTGATGACTGTTTTTAGTAAGAAATTTGTTAAAAAATTAATCAATATACGGTGTACTTTTTTCCGTAATGCACAGGCCAATATATTAGTTTTTATGCGTGGATTTTAATTTTTATTTCAATTTTTCGTATGAAATTAACAAAATAAAATTATCCTAACTCTGACAAAATAATATGAACGAATATTTTGATATAATGTGCGTGTATCGATTTTTTTTTATAGAAACTCTGGTCATTTTTTTTGGTACAATTAGTTGACCTCGATTTAATTCATTTTTTGTTACGACATTTCAAATAATTTTTGTGTGAATTGCACTGTTTATTTTTTTTAGCATGATAAAGAGTGTCGATTTTTTTGGCATAAAAAATCTTATGACTGATTGCTTTTGCTCAACTACTTAAATTTTTTGATTTGGATATTTATACAAAAATAAATTCATTTTAGTTAATAAAACAATATGAGTTTTATATTTATTTATACTTATTATTTACATAGGTTTTTAAATGTGTGATAAAATTTTACTAAAATAACTATTTTATAGAATTATGTTATAGTCAAATCGAATTTATGAATAATAATTTTAATTGTGTAGGACTTATGTGTATCTCGATAAGCTAGAATCCCGTATGAGCTTTTTGCATATTCATTTGAATTTTGAATATTATTTTCATCAACAATATTTAAAAAATAAAATCAAATTAATCATCCTCTCATGTCTCAAATTACATACTTAGACGTGTCCATTTGCCGGGCCGGGTCGAAACCCGGCCCGGCCCGCCGGGTCGACGGTTCACCGTGTAGTGAACCGGGCCCGGCCCGCTTGTAACTAAGGGCCGGTTCACTGAACCGGCCCTTAACCGCCGGGTCGCAAACCCGGCGGGTCGAGTCGGTTCCGGGTCGGGCCCGGCGGGTTTGCGGGTTTATTAATTTTTTTTTTTTACTTTTTTTGTTATTTTAATGTATATTAATGTTTATTTGAATAAATAGTTTGTATATACTTCGAAAATATAAGTTTTTGAGTCTGTTTGTCTATATCATTTCAAAATGAAACAAAAATAATGATCGGGCGTCAATTCTTGGAACCAAACGGTTAACGGTGTTGTATTTTATTGAGTATGGCGGAGAAGTACAACTTGAGGTAGTTTAGAAATGCTAAATTGTACGTCAAATGAAGTCGAATAAGTTTAAAGAAAAAAATTATTAATGTAATGGACTTGAGCTTAGTTAACAGTTATTAAGTTCGAATATCGTGTACGATGAAAAATTTTGTTGCCAAAAAATTATACTCGAACTTAATAATGTTAAATAAGGTGCCTACGTATCCCTTTATTTGGGAATCAAAGTCCACGTAGTTCTTCTAAATCACATACCTTGGCTGCATACCTTTAATATTCGTATTCGTCTTCGACGT